CTGAAAAGTCCTTGACTAGTGTCAGCACTACCTAGCAACAACTAAAACATCAGACATTATTCTCACACTAAATCCAAAACACAGCACTATGCCATCTACTGGGAAGAAAATGAACTCTATCCCAGCCAAAACCAGGACAGCCCAACTCTATTGCTAGCAAAAATAGTGTTCATTCAACCAACCAGTTCTTTACTCTCCTGCGCAAAAGGGGTGACAAGATAGGAATATTCCTACGTGCTGGATCCTGTCCATGGCTGTGCTGTAAAACACAATGCTATGTGTTTTCTCTCCCCCACCCCCTCCTCCATCTTTTAAAATAGAGTAAAGTCACTTTGTTAAATGCACAGTAAGGATTAATTAGTCAAAGTTTGTTCAGAGCTTTGGATGTCTTAAGCCTTATTTAGAAGGAGTGCTAAATATTACTCTTCTTGATACATTGACTTGATTATGACCAGCATCTTCATAGAGAAATTTCTTTTTTACCCTTCCGGAGTCAGGTACAATTTAGGATTTTATTCTTAAAGTTTGTATATATTTTTATATGCATTTATTATGTATTTGCATCTTATGTTACAGGTTTTCAATTATTTATATTTTTTAAAAAATATTTTATGTGAAGAAAAAAACCCATATTTTTCTATTTTATTTTAGACATGTTTTATCAGGTCAATGTAGTTCATAGGTATATGAATATTCTGAATTACTATCTGGAAGTTCACAGGCCAAACAGGGAACTATTTTTATCTGTGGAAATGAAAGCATCCTTAAAATAGTGGAGTTACCAGTTGTATGCTTGAATGATTTTTCTCAGTACATTACATTGTCTTATATTACATATCAGAGTAAAAAATTATTTTAAAGTGTTTTTTGAGAAGAAAACATAAATTCTTATGAGAGTTGTTTATATTTAATTCAGACACAGAACTTTACATAAGGTTAATGCTAAAATTTTGAATTGAGCAAGAGCATAGTTGTTCTTTTATGTATTGATATAGCTTTTTTGAGGAGAAAAGAGACTGAGGATGTGTAATTCTAAGTATGATGCTTCATTATTTTACCCTATTTGTTTTTTTTAGAACTAGAAGGATGGTATTTGAACAAATGTTCCTTGATGTCTTATAGTAGCTAATGCGGCTTAACGGAATCCATATGTTAAATTATCTGATTCTACTACAGATTTTACGTCCCCTATTGCCACATATAAAATAACATGAACTCATGTCATTGAATGTTCTCTACAGGACTTATCTAAAATGATATATTGATAGCGCTATACTCAGCTGCCAAGATAAATGTTTGTTTACATCTATATTACTTTAGAAGATTTCATTTTATTGGAGGAGTTGGTAGCCTATCAGTAGACAAAAGAGATTTGCTAAAATCTTTCTCTTTTGTACAAGCAAAGTATACTCCATTTTAGAATCTAATGAATTGAATGTCAGTGCTGAAACAAAGTATAGGTGAAGCATTATACTTTGGGAGAACAAGAACGTGAATCTGAGTAAAGAAATCTATATTCTATTTTTTGCCCTGATAAAGCAATCAATTTATGGACATTTAGGAAAGATTTTAAATTACTATGTTTTCTCCATTTACTAACATCGCAAAGTTCAAAATTTTGATCTTTAAATCATCTTATCTTTAAAGTGATTACCACATCAGCTGAAAAGACCTTAAATCAATGCAGTTACACACTTCCTTTGTGATGCGTCTGTTAAACATGTATGTACATATATACAAGTCCCTGTAATATAAAAATCAAAGCTAGCAGTAAGCAACTCAATTTTTATTTTTCTCAGTTTGCATATGTTTGGAAGATTTATTTTGTTATCCAATATTTCTGTTTGCAGAGCAGGTAGAATCACTGGCACAATATATAAGAATTTATTCTTTTGTTTTAATTTAGTTTGACAAAGGATATGCTTACAGCATTCGCCACAGCTATGGGAAAGAAGGAAAGAGAACTGATTATACCCCATACAGCTGCATGAAGATTATCATGTCCAATCCACCAAGTCAAGGGGATTATCATGGTGAGTTCCTTTAAAAAAAAAAAAAAAAAGTTTATAAACTGCAGAAAACCTTGGCTAGAAAAGTTACTGCCTCCTATAGTCTTTTAAATTATGTATTTAATTTCAAGGCCACAGTGGTCTTGCACTGATGTCTTTAGATTGCACTTGATAACTCCAGGTTTATATACATTGTGTCATGCAGTGCAAGGAGACTTTAGACGTACAGATGCTTTAAAAATTGACCAATTAGAGGTGTTTTGAGATATAAATTAAATCGTACAGAAATTCTGAAGTTTGCTAGGGTACTTTAGCTCCTACATCTGTGTCACTAAACATGGAAAACCTGCACTGGCTTCACCGTTGTTATTCTAGTACTAAGTCATTCATTCAGTTGTGTCTCAAAACTAATTCTGGGTCAAAAAAACCCCCACTCTTATTTATGGTGGTGGAACTTTCTAAGGTATTTATAAAGTTATAATTTTACAAAGGACTGTGCTTTAAAGACCAGTTGCCTCTCATTACTTGTGTTTTCCTGTTTTTTTCACAGCTATTAAATGTGCCAGTGCTATCATTGTTAGTAAGGAACTAACTAAAAGTCTTTTCCTGTTTGTGAATGAGAATTGTGGCCTGTTTATGTTGGGATATTTTACGTAACTCTTGAGCCTGTGGTTCCCTGATAACCATGCAGTAGGGTAATTATTCAAAAAAAAAGGAAAAAGTAAGCAATTGTACACATGGGCAATTAACTTTCTTATTAATAAGCTGTTATACAGTTAGGAACAGCTTAGCTGGTCTCTTGAGTCTCTACTGTGCTAACTCCTGGGTAAACAGCCTTGTTTGTGAGCTTGCTTGTTTTTTACTGTCAGGGTGCCCATTCCGCCACAGTGATCCTGAGCTACTGAAGCAGAAGCTGCAGTCATACAGGATCCCTCCCAGTGGAATAACTCAGGTAAGGCATATTTTGTTTGGTGCTTTCATTAATAAGGCACTGCTTTTCAATTTTACTTTCTATTTGTGTAGGAATGCTATATGCAATTTGTCAGTACACATTGTGAAATATCTCTTCTTATAAAAGGTTTAAACCAGAATCTTGGTTTTCTGGCTCCAGTGCTTCCACTGACATGTTGATTATTGTCATCACCTTTTATTGTTTAATATTATGAATTGGTTTATTACTATAGTGGATGCAATGGAGAATTTTGTTTTACTTCATTTTACTGCACTGTGATAAAAAAATTTAAATGAATCTGGCAATATTTTAGAGAATGTATTTTTATTCTTGCAGTGATTTGTGGAAGACTACTGTGTAGTCAGTAGACATAAGTAATTGTTTTCTGTAATGAACTTCTAATAAACATACATTCTTAATCATCCATTGCACTAACTTCCCCTAAACACCAAAAGGACGTGAAATGCCTAGTGAAATTAAGCAGAGATTTTTAGCAGCTTTTTAAAAGGTAACATTAAATTGGAAACCTATCTTATATAGCAAGGACAATGCAGAAATACATGTATACTGTGACTCCCTTTGCTCTAGGAAGAGGTTAAGGCTATAAAAGGATGCCATCATCTTCCCTGGAGGAAGTTGTATGGGTTAGGCTCAAGCTGAGACAGTTCAGCGAAAAGTCAGGTATATTAACTGCCTGAAACCTGCTTTAGGTCCATAGGAAAAACCTGCTTTAAGTTTTCGTCGTTAGTTCATGTGGAGTGTCACCATTGCTTGTCAGGCATCAACAGTGTTGAACTAGATGTTGAACTAGATGGAAAAGAATGTAGAAGTTCCACTTAAAGTAGTCTCCCTAGGAAGGAATAATTAAGATAGAAATTAAAAGGGAATAGTTCTAAAATGTTTATTGTTCACTTATAGTAATGCTTGACAATTCTTGAAATACCCAGACTTTTTCCTAGAATGTTTTTTTTTTTTTTCCATTTGTTTTTTCTTCTTTTCTCCTGGTTCATATAAATAAGCATTTGACTGTCTTCCTTATATCTGACAGGCACCAGAGGTACTTTCCTTCGGCTTTTTTCCTTTTTATATGCATCAAAAATTGATGCTGCTCTGAGATTTTTATCCTGCTAATCATTGGAAACATTGGTGAGGATTTACTGTTTTAGCTGCCTTGCTATGCGTGGGTAGGATTTAGTAGAGGTTATTTCTTCAGTGAATTTGCACAGTGGGGTAGTAGCTTTATATTTAACACAGTTCCTTACTTGATGTGAATTGGGTTTCTTTTTTTGTGTGTGTGTGTGTGTGTGTTCTTTTTTCCCTTGTAAAGCAGGACTGGGATTCACTAGGAGTCTTAAAAAAGTGACTAAGAAAAACTGTCTCCATCAGTGTCTGCCTGGAAATGGACACTGTGCTGTGCATGAATTTTGTGGTGTCAGTTTAAGTGCAGTCGGGTACAGGGCTCTGCAGGGGCCATTCCTAGTGTTAAACCAAAACAAACCCAAAGCAAAACACCCTCCACCTGAAAACTAGTACTAATTTAAAAAAAAAAAAAAGTTGTCTGTGGCTGGGTTTTCAGAAATTGATCTTTTACAGCAGACAGTCTTTGAGATATTCAGGAGGAGGAGGAGGATGAAGAGGATTGGTTCACATCTGCCTCCAAGATCTCAAACAGATTTTATTCCTACCACTCCTTGTTGCTAGATTTGCATGGTCTAATAACATCTGCATGACTAATAACAGTTCAGGATCCTTCAGTCCAGACCGTGTCTTTTTAGAGTCTTCTCTGATGCTGGTGAGAGTTGCTGAGTATCAGAAATGTTGTTTTTCCTTTAGTGCAGTGAATGGTTATTAGGGGTGGATGGTTTATCAGTCTTTCAAAGCCTCTGATATAGTTGCTTTTGCAGTATCTGGACCTCAAGATTGACATTCAATCAGACTGTATACTTTGAGTCCCTTAGACCTCCTGTTAACTCCAGGTCAAATGTGAGCTTCCTTAGAACCTGACAGATTCCTATTTTTAATGAATGAAATGATGTGCCTTTCCTGGGGCTCAAAGCTTCTTACACTTGCTCCTTGCTTTCTTCCAAAATTTGTTGGCTGTCTTCAAATGTGACTTTGTTTAGTGTCGTCTTTTGCTCTGTATGCTCTAGACAAGCAGGTTGTCACAAAATGAAAAATTCCCTCTGTGTTGTCAAAACCAGATCAATGTATGTACCTAAATGCTTTTTCAGTTCTCTCTGCCTGGTTTATGGTAGAGATAAATGTGGCGTTCTGGACTGAGGGGACACTCAAGTGGCCATGTGCACAGGGCAGCAAACTCAAAAGGAGCAGGCATTTTACATCAGTTTTCCAGAACTCTGAGCTGTCTGCAATGCGTGGAAGTCTCACATCCACTTAATGAAAAACAGTGTACAAAGTAGTTGAATCATCAACAGATGTGTGCCATGGTGTCACAGGTGAGACAGTAAATGACAGCCTGTAGTGGATCTGGATGCTGGTTTGGTTGGGGTGTGGTGTGGTGTGTGGTTTTTTTTGAGAATCAAGGAGATTAGAACTATACCCCTGCTTGATTGTTTCATACAGTCCCTCACTTGCTCCCCACCCTGGTGGTGGTATTTACTGAGGTCTCAGTTTTTCCTTCCCAGCAAGGGAATCACTGCTGGCCTGGGTGGATGGGACAGAAAGTCATGTCAATACTTGCTTTGCAGCTGATTGCAGTTAACAGTCTCAGGCATTACAGGCTGTGGTCCCAGGGCATTCCCAGCATTCATCTCCATGCATCTCTGATCTCCAGGATCATCCTCAACTTCCCAGGATATTCACCATTGTCTTTCTGGGCTCCCAAGCCCCCATTTTTCTTCATCTGAATAGTCTATCTGCAAAACCTGTGGTCAGGTTCCTAACTGATAGTTCTGTGTCATGTTTCCTTATTAATGGGAAGATGAGAACATGTCACTTTTGTTCAGTCCAAATGTTATGAAAATTTACAACCAGCTCATACGAGTTGCAGCTAGCTAGCAGGTTCATGCTTGTCGGTTTGAAAATTCAGTTTTGGATGTTTTACAAGCCTCTATATGAAATCTGTGCAAAAGTAACTTGAACCAACTGTTTGCTCAACTGTTTCCCAGGTCACTACTTGATGGGTGACACTGAGGGAGTTAAGAGACTCCCTGCAGTGGTAACAGGTGTCAGATCATGTGAACAGTAGACTGTTGCTTTCTAGGTTAGTAGTGATGCATGCTTCTCTGTGGCTAAGGAGTTGCTTTAAGGAATTCAAATGAAAGCTCAGGACTTGCAGTCCCTGTTGAGTACAAATTACAGTATTCTGGAAATCACATTGCAAGGTAACATGCTGGACTTCCCGTTCCTGAATCAATTCATCCTTTCAGCCCTCCCTGCTTACAGCAGATATTATGTCACTACCAAGTTCTGTATCAGCAAAATAAAATACTACAGCAATGAAACCAAACATATATATGAGTACATAGACTTGCATATTTAATGTATTGCAAGCGGTGTGGAATGGTATCTTAGAAGTCACCTTTTATGAATGGGGCACTCCAAAATAGAACTGTCCATCTTGGAATCTAAGAAGCGCTAGTATTTCTGTTCCTGGGGTGGACAGGTTGTGGGACTGCTGCCAGCTTCCCTAATTAGGAAAGCTGTTCTGTGCTTTTCCTCTGATACTTCTCTTCAGCAAGAATGCTCCTGCTGTACAAAAAAATCCAAGACAGTTTGGTATCAGGCTCCTTCACTGTGGAATCCCAGGATTCGATCACTATGCCGAGACCTTGTAATTCTAGAATCTGGTCAAGTTTGCTGTCCAAATCCCAATCCTGTTTGAACTATCTTGTGTTTGACTTTAAAAAATAGAGTATTCTGGCTCATTTCTTGAGAGTATGTCTTTGATTAACATCAGGAAACATTCTGCTGGGCATAACTTTTGGCCTGGGGTACTGCTTTTTTACTTGGTGTATGTCAAATTTACTAACCTCCTAATAGGTCATCTTTACCTATAATTTATAATAATTTACTGGACTTGAGAAAATACGACTTTCTGAACTGACTCAGACAATAACTACCTACATAGAAATCCTTCACCTTCAGACATAAATGTCTGGTTTTATTGGTTTTTTTCCAAAGGTTTAGCTATGGCATTTCCTCTGTGAGAACCCAGTCTCCCAGCAGCATCTGTCTCAGAGTAGCCGTTCATTATTTTTTTGAGCTAATGGGCACTTGCTTCCTTTTTTGCCTTTCTAGAAATATGACCTTCAGCTGACAGTAGTTGCAACAGAACAGTAGAATCCTTTTTTTTTTAAAACTCACCAATTCTATCCATTTTGAGATAATATTAATCCTTAAAATGAACTGTAGGTTTTTGCTTATAGCGGTGTCTAAATTTTAGGAGATTAATCTTCGTTTTATTTAGTAATATATTTTTCACGCAAATTAAATGTTTTCAGGGCTACGGATTACATATATGCTGTAAGCATAAGGTATGCTTCTTTCCAAGAATGTGCCAAAACCTATACCCAGGAGCCCTCTTGGGTGGATGCTTTCTGCCCTAAAATTTTTCCTATGTTTATCTGACAATGTGTGAATCTGTTACATAGCCATTGTCATAGAAACAAATGAGATTTCTAAAAAACTTCTTCATGATAGAACTCAAGGAGCACATCTGTGCTCAAGGTCATGAGATCTTCAGAGCTCACACCTACAGTTCTGTTCAGGTGTTCACCAAGGGTTTTGTTCTTGTTGAAATTTCTGTAGAGTCCTGTAGTTTTTGTTGAACTAGATACTCCAGGGCACTCTTCTGGACAAATGGTATTTGTGAGAGGAGTACATCATGCTTCCTTCTTCAGATGAGCAGTAATAAATGTGTATCTCCTAAACTAAGAAGTTCACTTTAAAGGGTTGAAAGGTCAACAATTTCTGTTCCCTACTGAGATTAAATTCTCATGCTGAAACAAAGGTTGACTGGAAACTCATCAGGCCTTCCA